TTTAGTCTCTCCCTATTACGCCTGTTTACTCCCACTCTCCTTTGCGGGGCAGCGTGGAGGGGCTGTGACCCTGTCGGTACAGTCGTCAGCAGGACTTTTTCATAGTGCCCAGGGCTACCCTGCTATTCATGCTCTATCGCCATCAGGCCTGATCAGGGTCCAGCTGCAGCCTCTTTCCTACCAACTGCACATTTTGATGAAAGGTCAAGGGAGACACATCAAACTTGAGCAGTCAAAGTTTGTGTGAGAGAAAAACAAATGTATAAAACTGCATGAAAATGAATATGGTTTTCTTTAGGTAGTGTTGAGGTAATGTGGAAAAGATCTGCCAAAGGTTCAAACAATAATACAGTGGTGAATCATTTCTTGCATGCACCATTAGGAAGGAATTTCTCTTTCTACTGGTTTTAACTGCTGAGAACCTGGTACAGACCAACAAGTTTCTGTCAGCACATGGCTGCGAGTGGCAGGGAGGAGCTGAGACCTGAGTGGGCAGAGAAGCCAGCCTCAGTGCAAATGCTGTATATTTAGCCTCATAAAATGGAATCATAAAATAAAATTTCATGTAATACATTTTAATAGGATATATTTTTAAACACAGCACAACCACTGAGTGGTGTCATTAATTGAGATTCATTTGCTAACAGAAAAGACTAATTTTTTATATGACTATTAAAACCCATGCAGGGGTAAACCTTGCAACACATTTTCCAGTCAGAAGCTGCTGTCTGTTTAACTGCATGTTTTCCCAACATATACAGACTCCCACTGTTTTCAGCTTCAAATCAGCATACAGAGACACCATGCAGCATCATAAATATCCCATCATTACAAATAATGTGCATTTTTTCATCTCCTGACTAACGACACTGCATACACTGCCCTTATATCACCAGAATTCAACCTCAAGGAATCACTGAGATGTTTTCCTCTTTGTCTAACTAAGGCAGTCACACTAAACATCCCTTGATCCAGTACTCCCCAAAGAAAGACCATCTTAACATTTGCAAGGTCACCTATTTCATGTGTTATGGTCCTGTGACCAAAGGGCCCAGATATATGATAATCTCTTTGGTATTTCAGAGACCCACAATTGACTCAGACCCATATTTTTTGTATTAAGTGAAGGATCAGTAATAATGAAAGAAGACAAACTTTAGAAACTGGGTCCAAACTAGTGTTATCAAAGGCAGACAGATTCTTCTCAGAGGATGGAAGACTAAGGGGGTTCCTTCAGTCCATTAAGGGCTGCAGAGATGGTGAGAGTAGCAGCATTTGGTAAGATGTCCTATACACGCTTTGGGAAAACTGAATGTATATATTATAAAATGGGGCAAATACTTAACCTTTTGGGGGGCTTCTGACATGGGTCGCATTTTTGTGTTTATGGTCTTATCTATGCATGGACAAAAGTATGTATTTGTTTTGTGCTTCCTTGTTTTGTGACAGTTTATTTGTTGAGATTTGTCTTTAAATATTTGTGTCCCCTACATATGATGGAGCATGCTTATGTTGACAACTCAGGCCAACTGTGTATGTAGTGATAATGACTTGGGGGAGTTTAGGGTGGGAGGTTTGTGTGCATATTCTGTGATGCATTTTATTTTGTACTTTCTTTAAGAAATAATAAAAAACTATTTCTCAGAAAAAAAATGCAAATTGTTACTACATGACATAATAGACTGTAGTGCATAATCTATCAGATCCAAGCGGAAGTATACATCACCTGCTGTAATGACTTTATTGTGAGTGGGACCCCAGAGGAACAAGATGGCCTCTCCGTCCCCTCCACACTGGACCAACTCCAGCTGAGCAAACAACACACACTCAATGCGGAAGCTACGGAAGAATAATAGCACCCAAGAATGTACATTAAGTGTACATTCCCGCTGTACATGCAAACACAAAAGCATGCATACACTCTCTTTCGTGCACACATACACACTCGCACACACACACATACAGTAGATACAGTGTGTTCCATTTTTCTTTTCCCCCGTGGCTCTTGGCTGTGGCCCTTTAGGAGTCTCCAGATGAAGAGAGCGTGGAGTGTGGCAGAGGGTCCTTCCATAAACAATAAACAACAGTTATCTTGTGTGCAGCCGTCTGTGTCAAGAGGCGCATGAAGCCAAGCCCAGCATCTGAGAGGCGTCTGCTCCTCTTTCCGCCTTTGGTCTTGTCTCTTTCAATGGCTTATAAAAGTGTGGATGTGTGTGTACGCCCACGGGTGTGTGTCTGTGTTCACAGCACAGCACAGGGCTCCTCTGTATTGTATTCTGAAGCTGGCTGGAAGTAAAAAGGCAGAATTAAGAGTGGCGGGGGCAAGAGAAAGGGGGCTGCCAGCACACTGCAGAACTGCAGGGAGCTCCCCCAGATCCCAGCTGCCCAGGACTGGCTGAGAGCTTCAGGCGAGTGCCAGGCTTCCTCGGCCCTCATGGAGGTGGGCCAGAGAAAGTGGGAGGAGTGAGAGGTATACGTCAGAAGAAAAAAAAAGCCAAAAATAATGTCTGGGCCTATATAAAGAAGGCCTTGGGAGACACACAATGCTGACATACACAAGAAAACCTCAATCTGTTGGCAGGTAGGAAACATCAGGGGCATTTTTTTCAGTTCTTTTCACAGAGAAGAAAACAGAGTTTTCAAATAATAATTGGTTATATAAGGTGTTCATATTTTATGAAGCACTCAACTTCCTGAGCAGCCCAGTGAAAAGCTCTTCCAGCATTGGTGGCCTGAATGCCTCTCCTTCTCCACAGGGGCTGGCAACACAGTGGAAAACAGAGTTTATCTGGAACTGTTTAATGCATTATTTGTCTAACAATCAAGGAAGTGAGTTTATTTTGCAGATAATTATAGCTTTTGTTGCGTCGATGGCCAAGATAAGCCAAAGTTCCGAACCATTAACTGGTTGTGCTTTTTCTGGCAAACACTGAGCTTGTAATGCAGAATGCACTGTAAGAGCCCTAGCTGCAAAACTAGAAGATCCTCACATTAAGGAGTAGGACACCCTGAACTGCATGATGCCAATCAATCAATAAATCAATCAATAAAGTCTTCTTGGGTTTTTCAGTGTTAAATTTACTTGGACTTTAAATCAACATGAGATACTTATCACCACAAGAGTTCCCACCCTCCTATCTCTTGATCCGCTTACATCAAATAACATGACTCAATGAAAAATTGAGGCCATTAACTATACAATATTCAAACCATATGTAAAGCCAGCGTCTGATCCGACTCCCACCACACACTGAAGGGAGTAATGCTGTACAACCGTCCAAAGTGGAATGTGGGCCCTGAGAGCTGAAGCTCAACTGTAAGCAGTAATAATTACAGCTCAGGCAAGAGCCTCTGGAAAACCCCCGCCTGGTCTAGACACTTTTGCCCTCTGAGCTGACCCAGGAACCGGCCGGGGCGCTAATCATGGCACTTGGCAGACCGCAGCATTTTTCCATAGGTCCTCAGAGAAGGCCCTTCCTCTACAGAGGCAGGTAATCACAACAAGAGCACATCCCGCCCCGGTAGCAGGCCAATGAATGCGTGTCTGCTTTGTCCACTCCAGGAGGAGTTGGGAGACTATTTCTGTGCTTCTGACAAAAACAAATAACCCCTGTGTCACCCGGACTGTTAGGCTGACTGCCTGCTAGGGGGCTGATGTGGGTGGTGTTCGTCATTGTGCGCTCCCGCCCTGGGGCCAGTGACAGGAAGTGAGCTCCACTATGACAAGGGAGAAACCCATTTAGGCTGTTACTCACCAACACTTCACGAGGGTCAATACAGAGTGATGAAAGTTCATAAATGGGGCTGCAAGTGGCATCATTGGCATTTACCACACTAAAATTAATGATCCATGTGGAAAAATAAGAGAAATAAAGAGATATACGGTATATTCAGGCTTCTGGAATTCTCTTAATACCTCTTGTTTCCTGCCCCACACGCTTATGGATTTACCTCCAACCACCAGGGTCCCCAGGTTGGCTTCCCAGGTCAAAGTCCTGACGTACGCTGCCTGTGTTTTCCGTAACTAAACCTTTTCCTTTGGACACCTGGACTTTATTTGTTGTGTCCAGAGGGGGCCGTTTGGATACATTTCATTACCACTTTTTGACACTCCGTCCTCTCTAATATCTAATATTGCCGCTACAACAGCTACACTGGGAACAGATTGATGTCAGGGATGCTATTGTTGGACATATTGTTCCATTACTGTGAGGAGATGGAGTGTGAAAACATCACACATAACAACCGAACATACTGCAATGATGAAAGAAATGCTTACTGCTGGAGTGAATATTTTTTATGTTCTGAATATTGTTGGGTATTGATGTTTTTGGTTTTGGTGCTGATGATTAAATTATATCACAATATCTTAATTTACAACATCAAAATGAAAACCTCATAAAAGCTTACATTCAAATTGTAGAAACTGGTAAATCTGCGTCACACTGTCAGATTATCCGTCACTTTTAAAATGTAATTATTTAATTACATTAGGACGCTTCAGGGAGAGATGTTAGCAAAGCAACACAGATGTTGTTTATTTCACAATGAGGAGCTGAAACATTGGTTGATTTAACACCAACTGCCAACAGTTCCCACAGTCTAAACAGGAGGTCCCAATTTCAGTGGCCACCAAATAGTTTGGTGACATAAATGTGGAGGACTTGGTGACAGATCCCATGCCAGACCACTTTTCCTCTTCTCCACAACTCTGAGTGATCCAAGTGATAAATGTACTTAAGCACAGACTGATGGAAAAATCTCATTTCCTCCCAAACTGAACCCCAGAGACAAACGCAGAGCAGGTATGGAGCTCAGGTGGCATCTTACTGCAGATTCTTTCTGTTCTTCATGCACGCACACACACATACATGAATACAGATCTATTGGAGGTGCCACGTCTACACACAGCTGTTGTTTTAACTGACAAGGTAGCCAATTTACAATCTCCAGACCATATAATAAACACTTTATTAGTTAAAAGATAAAATAAGACTTACATTAAAAGCTTGGGCTGGTAACAGGTGGACTCAGATCTTCGCTGGCAATTTCAGCCATGTTTATGATGTTACTCAGGTGTGCCAATAAAGAGCCTGACCCAAGCTCTAGGTCTTATGTAGGGGCCACAACAGGCTGTCAGGTGCTGCTTCTTTTTGCTTTGCGTCGCATCATTCTTCTTGTCTTCATAAATTCATTCTGAGTAGAGTTTGATTTCAACATCTGGATGTCTTACTGCAATAAAAAAGAGAGCAAATTTAGAATACAGACATTGCCTGGGGGAATTCAAGAAAGAAATATAGCCGCAAGCGGTGATTCCAGGGTTCAAGCCAACACGGACCATTAAAAGTTGAAAGCTGCAAAGGATCAAGACCTTTGACAGTTTCAAGCACCTGCATTAAAGATAACTAACAGGTTTTATGACAGACATTTATTTATTCACAACCAAATCTGTGCTGTGTCATGTCCTTCCCATCATCACAGTCAACCTCTACTGGCCAACTGCAAAATCATTTTTGGATACATCTTTCAACAGCTTTATAAAAAAATATCAACTATCAATCAAATATCATGGTGATGTTTGAAGAAACTGTCATTGATTTAAGGCCAAATTTTGCACCAGGCAAATGCACTTGTTTTGAACTCCTGCAACGTCCTATTGTAAAATTTGAAAAATAATTTTCAACATGTTTTTGAAACATATCATGTGAGTTTTATAAAGACTTGAAAAACAATTCCTGATTTATAATCTGATTTGTTATGCCACATACATTTGTTTGCATTTGTAGCGCCCCCTAGTGGTGGATTGGAATGATTTTTTTAGGTTATATGTAAAGTGCTTGTGTGGACATATCCTGTAAGTTTTGTGATGATTGGCCCAATATTTGTGGAGTTAGGTCTATTTATGTGCAGAGCCACGCCCCTTTTTAAATTCACCGGTTAATATCTTAAAAGTTCAATGAGAAATCAACAAGCTAAATAGCTTTTGATAAATCCAGTCCAATACTGATCCACAAAAAAAAAAGATTGGAATTGGACCCACAGTTACGGAAACAATGTCAAAAACGTGTTTTTCAAAAAAATTAAAAATGGTGGAAAACCTATTGAGGTGGACCTTAATGTTTCTTGAGGCCTTTATGTAGAGCACCTTGAGCCGGACCTGTGTGTCGAATTTCAAGTCAATCTGACTTCAGCACGAGGGGCATGACCTTTCCAAAAGGGCATTTTTTTGGGCCTTAATTATAGCGCCACCATCAGGCCGATTGGGTTCAAAATTGTTGGGCACACATCTTCCAATCATTGATGAAAGTTTTATGTGTCTGCCATGTACCAACTCACAGGAATTTGCACAAACATTTGGGAGGAAGATTTATAATATACTTATAATAAATCAGCAGAAAAACGATATGGTTTCAGCCCTTCAGGCTTGAACCCCTAATTATTGCTGTTGATTACATGCACACTATTTTTTTTTTCCTGTTTTTGTGTATGTGTATGTGTGCCTGGGACATGCTCTCAACAATGTGAGTGCCTCTGTGTACATCCTCCTCTTTCCCTCAGCCCTGTAGACTCCCGATGCCCACAGTGATCTCGTCCCTCTTAGCCAGACCCACCAGGCCTAGCCCACCCTGGCATTGGCACTGGCACAGCCAAGCTGACAAATATTATCTACCTCAGTGCCCTTGCTAGCAAGCTGACGGGATGGGCAGCATTTGTCTGGCTAGAGTATCCAGTATCTGTCTGCCTGGGTTGGGTCAATGAGTGCATCCTGATCCCCCTACCCAATATTACACAAAATCACACTAATACATAATAAGTCTGATTTTTCAGCCTAATAACACTGGTGTCACAAGTCTGGTTAGAGCTTATCTAAGAAAGTACTACTTTCAATAACTTTTTGGTGAAAATCAGAAAAGCAGTCAATAAACAGTGCTCTTATCAAACACAGAGACTGAGATCTATATAATGTGGCAGACGTGTGTTTGCAGGAAACCCCACTTTAACTGACAAGAGCTGTGGTGTGAGTCATCCTGGGATTTTCTGATAAAATTGTCTCTTTAAATCCTCCTCCACCCCCCCTCTCATGACTGACTGGTGTTCTTCCACCAGAATCCCTCTCAGTCACCATCATTTTCATCATCCTGGCAAAGAGTCTAAGACACTCACCAGACAGGCCTACTGATGATGAACCTGCAACTGCGTTGCTACTTCCTGAAATTAACTACAGCTGCTTTCATTTCCACAACCTCTGGCAACGTTATTGTATACCTTTATGACTCAACCAGTGACAAACCGATCTGGGTCTGGCAGGGCCAGAAGCTCTTCCTTTAAAATGACTCAACTCTGACTTTATACAAGAGCCCTCATTTCTACCACTGTCACCAAAGACTAGCCAGCAGCCTTTCTGAAGACCTTTGTGACTCATCGGAGAGAATGCGGTGCTGAAGACAGGGCAGGAGCAAGCGGTAGGCAATACTATAGAGAGAACAATAAAATGCAGATAATGACAGATATGGCCTGTGACACAGATGGGAAAGGACTGTTTTAAGATAGACACTCTCCTCACCAGTCTGAAATTGCAGAGTTGAAGAGCGCTCTCTTGAAGGAAACATGACTGGATCAAAGAGAAAAGACTTATGGACTTACATTATAGCCTACAGATGGTGCAAACTGGTGTTTTGGTGTGGTGATGCAGATTCATACTCTCAGTCATAAGTGGAAATGATTTTTTAAAAAATCTATTTATGATGACTTCTTTGTTGTTTGTCATGTAACCTTACGCACGCCGTTGACAGTTCCATCCACTGGTACTTTGGCCCAAACTATTAATAACTAAAGAAGTGACCAACACTCTTGACTCCTGAATTTGGAATGATCATTTCTGAGGTAAAAATAAACTCATTAGCTGTACATAAACATCTAATTGAATCCAACTGGGTTTTTCTTAGGCGTGTTATAAGTAGTCTTTTTAGAGGTTTGGGACTGTGGTGAGGAGTGGGTGGCCCAGCCCTGACCCCCATTCATCATAGTGAGATACAGTAGGCTAAGTTGTGGAGGGATGTTGAAAAGCGCCGCATCCCACAAACATTAAACACATAGCACGCACATACATACACATACAGAGGTCAAGAAAAAGACTAACCACAGCATCAAGACTGGTTTGTTGACCACTTATCTCCATCTGCGTATACATCCACCTTGAAAGTGAATTCTGGCTAAGGAACTAGATGGAAAGCAACAGAGGGAAAGTGTTTACTGAAGCAGTAAAGGACCCTCAATTTGTGCCCATAGTTTTCTCTATAATCAAAAACACTGGTGCCAAAACATTGTTGTTTTGTGTTTGGACCAAAGGAAAAGCTCTTCTCTATCTACACCTATCATCCTGACCCTCACATCCCCCTGGTACACCATATCACACTCCATGTCCGAGACACTGACACATGAATTGTCAGTTCCACATATTTCTGTTTGATCAAGTCTTCCCTATCCTTCCTTACACAGTTGCCCTGTTCTTCATGCACAATTGATAATCAATTGATAAAATTATGCAATCAAGCAGTAGATCTTTGACGACTGAAGCTCATTCTGTCTGTTCAGCTTCAGGGCAGGAAAACCCTGGTAATGGGCATGAACTGCAGGAACAAAATGTGAAAATTAACAACTGGAACAAGAGACAAATTCATTCAACTGCAACCACACTATGTCAACCAGAAAATATGCTGAAAATACTACAACACAAACATCATCGGCGTCCACAAATGTCGACAATCCACGGAGATGCAGTGCCCTTGATAACCCTTCCTGTCTCCATCTACAATCTTTAAAAGCCGAAACATCAAAGCTTGGAACAGTGCCGCGTTCTCAAAGTCCAAATGATCACTTGTCTCAGCTTGGATGGGATCCTAGAAGTTTTTGACATCGATGTCAACAAGACAGGCAGGCTCATTCAGACAAACTTGCTCCTTCCTGGCTCGGCTCTCCTGTTCTCACAAGATCCAATACATCATAACCAAACAGTGGTCAACTGCAAGGACATAAAAAGCGTGTGATTCATAAGCAGTGCCAAATACTCTAACTTTCTCTGGGATCACTCATTTTAAATGTCATAATGTGTATGTGTGTCCCTCTCCCTCTCTCTGTCTCTCTCTCTCTAATTACAAACACAAAAAATTGTTTTGACGTATTTGTGTGAAGACAAAGGCAGTGACAAATGAAATGTCAACTGTCAATGATTACAGGCGTGTATGTACATTCACAAGTAAATTTCACTCAAAAGAGACCCGAGCTGATCTGTCAAAAATAGATCCGGTGCATAAAGATGGAAGAGTGTGAAAAGAGCCTGGGGCTTGGCTTGCCGTGGTGTTCAGGTGTACTCTGATTAGCACTGGTTACATCACTTGGCCACCATTCTGCCCACTGTTTTGCTTTTTTTTTTCATTGTAGAAATAAAACCCATTTAGTTCATTTTTGCATGTCAGTGCCCACATTTATCAAATAAAATAACTCATAAAGTACTAACTGTGTGATCAGTACTTAATCATGTACCTGCGCTACCGGGGTGGCTACGATCTGAACGTTAATGAGACCAAGACGTGTATCATCGACAAATAACTTTTCTTGTTAAATGTCCTGTGTACTTGTAACATTGGTTGCACCAATGTTGTTAATAGTGTAATTAACAATTATTTTCATTGCCGATTAACCCATTAACAATTTTCTCTACTAATCTATTTGTTTTTTGGTCAATAAAGTGTCCGAAAATGGTGAAAAATAGTCAGTGTTTCCAGAGCCCAAAATCATGTCCTCCAAAGTCTTGTTTTGTACACGACCCAAAGATATTCCGTTTACTGTCATAGAGGAGTAAAGAAACCACAAAATATTCACATTTAAGAAGCTAGACTCACCGAAATTTGACTTTTTTTCTTAAAAGATTTCTTAAACTGATTAATGAATTATCAAATTAGTTGGTGATTCACCTAATGGTTGACGACTAATCTATAAACAATAACTTTTTGCTGTGTTTGTTGTCACAAGTTCATGAACAAGTGGGAAAATTTCCTCACCATGACATCTCTACTGGGGTCACGTGTGGCCCATGGACTGGGTGGGTGTATACACAAAGATACACACTGGCTACACTGGCAAAGGATCATCTCCATCCCTGATGAAGCCAACATGCTATGGACATTGGATTTTGAGCAGAGCTTTGGGATGAGGTATATAGAGAATGTGCT